TTATTTTATTTTGTGTTCTGTCTGACGACAGGTCCATATGACCAGGATCCTTCCATCCTTTTCTCGGACTGGGACTTGTTCATATACGTTCTTGGCAGATGATCGAGAAGTGGTTTGCCATTGCCTTCTTCTGTGTGTGAATGGTGAAGTTGTTGGGATGCCACGGAGGAAAACTCCGTGTTGCCTAGACCACGGCCTTGCCCAACACAAGTTATAAATTCGGGCACCGCCGGGAATCGAACCCGAGACCCCCAGGATTACAAAGCCAGCGTCCTAACCGCTACACCACCGTGGCGGGGTGTTAGATGGATAGCGTCTATAAAGGAATCAAAGGACAATTGGCTTAATAACACTGACGAGACAGAATCCCAATGAGACTAAACTTTTCCATTGGCAGTCGCACAGTTTTAACGAAGTCCTGTCCTGTGAAATCATCCTATTGTGCGTGTGTGTGTGTCAACACTCAGGAAATTAAGACGGCAATTTGAATATTACACACACTAAACGGGAGTCCGTACTGGGAAAGACGAGTGAATCAGTTAGTACAGTCACGCGGGTCGCGTTTTGAATGCACTAATGGGGGCCGGTATATCTCATCTTCGTTGATTTCAAAGTGTAATTGCTGTACAGAATAATTCAGGACGCCTGATTTTCTTAAAAACAACTTCTCTTCAGTGTTTTCTACATTTGCAATTTCGCGCTAACAGTTCAGCAGTGATGATTTAGCCCTTTAAAGGACATTGGTAACTATATGTACCACCTACTTTAGCATTCATTAACTCTGCATTTTTCCCACAGAATGTATGGGAGAGAGAGAAAGAGGAAATTGGTTGAGGGGAGAAGTGAGAGACACTTCGATTTCATCTTTTAGTTAGAAGGTCCCCAGGCAATGCCCGCTCGTCCTTCTGTTAAGGATAAAGTAAGAGTGAAGACGTTAATGCGATAATTGGCAGAGAAGACGGAATTTTGAAATTTTGTATTAGCGAGAGCTGAGGCTATTAATTTGGGAAGAATGTATGGGGTTTACTGTAAACAGCGTTAACCAGTTGATGTTTTCTTCGCGGTACGGACTGAATTCTTTTATTTAAACGAGCTTCGGTTTCAAAAGCTTTACAGGTAACACAACAACAACGCTATTTCGACTGTAGGGGTTAAAAAGTGTCGTGATTTGATTATGGAAACAAAAGAATTTGGAAAACGGCGCGTTCATACATTGGACTAATATTTCATGCAGGCAAAGTAATCGGGGGAAAACGTGGACTTCAGGAGAAAGGAATGTGAACAAATTAGGATTTTACGTAATCAGGAATTCTGTGATCTTTCAAGTCACCTGGTTTGTTAGGACAGTGAAATTTACGCCGGTACGATGGGCTGGGAAACGTCCATTGGGAAGACCTAGAAGCAGATGTAAGGATAAGACTACGATGGATATTAAAAAAGAAATTGTGAAGATGGAAGGTGGGTGTAATATCCTATATACTGGGTTTGGAACGTCCTTGTTTTACTATCAGAGAATTAAATAACTAGTGAACAGATTAGAAAAAATTAAAATAATGTGGAATTATTGTGGTTTCACAGTTATAAATAAGTAATCATTGTAATGAACGATGTGAAATTTTTATGATAACAGGGAAGGCGCGTCCTCCGGATTAAAATAATAAATAGTCCATCCCTGACACAAGATGAACAAAACTAAGGATAATAATACCACCTGCAGAGCTGGAAAAAAAACATTTGTTTCGGTCATGTTACTACGCTGTTAATATTTCTTGTGCTCGCGTGCGATTTCAAACACTTTTCCCCCGTTGAGTCGGAATGTGGCACCCCCCACACACCACCCGATCCCCCGGCCGATAGTGCCCCAATGCCAACTCGGGGGTATTCCCATTACGGAACTCACTCTACGTACACGGTCGCGCCCGAGCGTCAGACAACGGTCCAATTAACAATTAGCAGATTTCTTGAAGTTGATGGTTGCGAGATATTAAGGAATTCGTAGAAGCAAATGCTTGCCTGCGTTCGGAAGACCAACTCCCTCTTCTTCATTGCTGGCGGGGGCAGACAGAACGCGTACAGTAATAATCCTCACCCCACCCTACTCTATCCACCACTTACCTCGTTTTGTATTTCCATGACTGTTCGTGCTCGTGCTTAGTGGCCCATCTGATAATATCCAATTAATATTGACGGATAATATACTAGTGTATCACAAACTCTGATTATTTCCGTTCCGCCATGTTAAAAATCATCCCTCATTTGCAGTGTCACATTTCATACCCTTATCCTCCCTCACTCCTGATTCGAGGGAGAGAGACAGAAGGAAGCGTGAAGCTGACCACGTTTCCATCTAATGTCAATGATAAGAATGTTCGACTCACAGATGAAGGTTCCCAGGCAGTGCCCGCTCGTCCTTCTTACCTAAAAGAAAACATAATGTCTCGATGACAGGGTATAAATAATCGCTATTTCTTCTGAGAATCATGCGAAACGCATAAATACACGAGCCCGGTACTGATTAAAAGACATAGCTATTCAGTTTTAAAGCAGGTGGTACCAGTGGGCTTTAAAATTGTTCACGAAACTTTGAATTAGTGAGTGAACTGTAAGACTTTTTTGCAGTGGATAAAATTGACGATGAATCTTTATTCTCTTATTCGCAGGTTAAAAACACTTTCAACGAGAATTTCCGAAAGTTTCACCAAGAATGGAAATCTACACGCTATGAATGGCTCCCAACTACGGAACAAATTTCCAAGAATTTGGGAGAGCCCATCCCAATTGAACAGCTTCAAAAACTCGAGGTAAGAACAATTAAAAACATATGATTTGATTTTTTTCATAATCGAAATATAAGATGTCTGTCTTCCGGGTTGCTGCGTAGTCTGGTAGAAGTTTACCAACGTTTCGGATGTGCCTGTTGACTCCATCATCAGAGCGAATGATGATGACGAAGGTAGCAAGGACCTCTGAAACGTCGCTAAACTTCTACCAAACTACACGGCGCAACAACCCGGAAGACAAGACATCTTATAGTTGGACCGCGTTGTAGCCAACATGCACCGCGCTGTGGGTTATTTAACGACTCTTTCTCAGCTGAACAGGTTATGTAGTGTTGAATAGTAGGATGATTGTGAATCAATAAGGTCGTGAACGGAAGGGGTCGTGGCCTATTTTAAGATGCTATTGTACACATTTCCTCCTGTACCTACGACCACGTTACTTGTTACAGCTGGACGTCGCCCTGAAGGACACGTTTGCTTATCTGCAGAAGTTCGCAGTGGGCATGGAGCAGATCGTATGGGACCAGATTGACAACAACGGAGCCTACAAGGATCAATTCGCGGACATCGAGTTCAGACTGAGGGCGGTGAGTTGGACAGTAAACATCTTCATGATTAAAAATAAATATCGCGTTTAGTTCTAGGTTGTAGCGCCGTGTAGGATGATACAAGTTCACCGACGTTTCAGAGATACGTGCTACGATCCATCATGAGGCGATCGTCGCCTTTGTGGTGGAGGCAGCACCGGTTATATACCCGTCAACAGCAACGGGATTTATATAAAAAGGAGGATATTTGGGCTTAGGAGAGAAGACGACGGGACATAGAGAAAACTGCATGATGACGAACTTAAAAATCTGTACTGCTCCCCCAATATTGTCAGGGTGATTAAGTCGAGAAGAATGAGATGGGCTGGGCATGTAGCGCGCATGGATGGGACAAGAGGTGTGCACCGGGTATTGGTTGGGAAGCCTGAGGGGAAGAGACCTCTGGGGAGACCTAGACGTAGATGGGAGGATAATCTCAGGCGGGATCTATGGGAGATAGGAGTCGAAGGAGACTGGATTTTGTTGGCCCAGGACAGGGTCCGGTGGAGGGCTTTGGTTAATTCGGTGATGAACCTTCGGGTTCGGTAAACCACCTAGTTGGTTGGGTCCACTATTTGGGAAACCTGAGGGGAAGAGACCACTGGGGAGACCTAGACGTAGATGGGAGGATAATCTCAGGCGGGATCTATGGGAGATTGGAGTTGAAGGAGACTGGATTTCGTTGGCCCAGGACAGAGTCCGGTGGAGGGCTTTGGTTGATTCGGTGATGAACCTTCGGGTTCCGTAAGCCACCTACTTAGTTAGTAAACGCGTTTCGTCATAAATTTGGTCCCATAATGCCCAAAATCCATAATAAACCCCGCTGAAAAAACAAATGATAACCAACGAATTGACTATCACGTGGTTATGATAGATACCGTTTGCTTCTCGTGTTGCAGACTCTGTGTGAGATCCAGGCGGCGATGCTGGAGCGAGGCGTGATGCAGTACGAGAACGTCACGCGGCAGATAATGGCCAACGAACTTCGTCACATGGGCAACTCGTCCTATCGCAACATGAGGGACTGGGTCATCTTCCGGGACTGCATGAACGGGCTTGAGTACGTCATCCAGGTGTTCGAGTACTTACAACAAAAGCTGACCTCCTGAAGCATGCCCCTTCTTGGACAGGAGCTTCACATCAGCGGGCAAGATGGACATAAGGTACACAAAAACTTCCGTCGAAAACTTCGGGTTCCGACTTCACAGTAGCGGGATCCAGAAACAAACACAAGTCTTCGAAACATCTTAAGTTTTTTACTTGAAAGTAGAAACTTGAGTGAACCTGAGGACTAATTTTTTAAGTATCTTCCGCTGGTCAACTGTAGCTCCATCCAAGAGGGTAGTGAAAACTTCAAATGATAATGTGACACTACTTTTTAAAAAAAACAACTTTTTTTTTTATTTTACGTGATATATAAATCAATGTTCTTACATATATGACAGACAGACAGACAGATAGATATTTTTGTCTCTGTCCACGGGATACTGTCACGTCATTGAAAAGTCGCCGAGTCATTGTATGTTACGTACCAGTAAATACTCTTATATACTATGAAACATTTAAACCATAAGTATCATGTGTTAGAAATATTATGTATGTGACTCCTCCCTGTTATAAGCATGTGGATTTTAACAGGGAAGTGAAAGCTTTAAATGTATGTACATAATTAAATTTTAGAGCCAGAATAGATAGCGAAGTGCCGTCCAAAATCTCTGGTGACTATAGAAGCCAATGTAGCCCATATTTATATATATATATATATAAAAACATTTTGACATGATGTTAATTGTTTTTTCAGTCTATCCACATCCATCCTTAGGAGCTTCCTCTATCAGTTGAATAAAAATTTACTTGGATATTATCCATCGTCTAGTAATAAAACGTAAAAAACGTAAAACGACGTTTCGGAGATGGGGCTCTATCTCCGTCTTCAGGTTCCTACACAGTTGGGCCCACTAGATAGAGCTAATCCCTATCTCCGGACCGGACCTGAAGACGGAGGTAGAGTCCCATCTCCGAAACGTCGTTTTACGTTTTATATTTTACTATACGATGGATAATATCCAAGTAAATTTTTATTTTTTCCTCTGTGTTCCAACACCATGGTTTAGCTCTATAACTGTTCCTGTTAACAAATGTGTACTATATATCGATATTTATTTAATGTTGTTACGGATATAATTATGTAGAATATAAATTCAACAGTATTACTTAATTATTTTTGGCATTCTGTTACATGTTGAGGCTCATTTATTATTAATTATTTTGTATTTTATTTAAAGTGGCTTATGGAACAAAGAATTTTTTTTAAGTGATCATGTGTTATGATAAAATAATCTGATACCAGATCGTAATTGTGAAGTTTTTAGAAAGATCTGGATTAGGTTCTGCTTTGACAACCATCAATGGCAGTCTTCATATTCCAACTGTGAACATTCAACCAAAATTCTCTACGAGACTGTGACAATAGCTGACTCATTACAGAATTTTTATGTCGGAGACTTTCTACTGTCTTTAAGTGTTGGCTCTACTGCCATCTCCAGGTGATGAGCTGTCATTCTGACAATTTTTTGTTGTTTTAATGTTTTTGGCAGTGGTCAGAATAGAATTTGGCATACTACTAGACCATGGTTAGCATACTGTCCTAATATAGAGGTCCCATGTTCAATGTTAACTGTTGCCACTAATATTGAAATAAAAAAATAATTAATTATGACAATCATTGAAGACAGGATATAATCCGACTGACAAAATGTGTACGTCAGTGTCAGACGATGGACAACGTCCAATGTAATATTCTGTCTTCTAAGATGTTTATGAATCTTACAGGCTCTGCGTTAATATTATTAATGTGACCTAATTTGGAATTTAGTGTCTGAAATTACAGTTTTACAGTTTTTATTTACTTGTTTCGAGTCTGTAGATTACAAAAGCTCGATTAATGATTTCGCAAAGCGTGCGAAATACAGGATTAAACACAAAACTTAATTGTACCAAATAATATTCCTGCTTTTTTTTTCTTAATTCAATGCACATAGGCCTAATATTTATTTTAAAATGGGGTTGACATTTATCTGCCAGTCATATCAGTTCGAAAGAAATGTTCAGGATCTCAGTTTTCTCCTTGTGCAGCTACGGAAGCTCTGTGTGAACTTAAAATTAATTGACGTCTATGTTCTAATGTTTGATGCATTCATAATCACCGTGTGTTTGCGTTCATAAGTAACTGTTTTCATGTTATTTCTCTACTTGTCTGTCTAATTTATCATCAGTATTCATTATTGATTGTATGTGTACTAGTTATCTGTCACAACCTTTATATATGTAAAGAAGGTTTATGATTAAGTGTGAGTCTATGAAAGTGCGCACTTGTATGCGTAGTAATAATAATAATAATATGACAACTAAACAACTTGGAGCAACTGGAAACACACATTTGCTGTATGATGCGCGCAAGGTATACTAACAGATTTCAAATCTACTGGAAAGTCCAGATGTGACATTTCCTATTTTGCAAATTAATCCTTCCTTGCAGAATTTACAAGAACAAATACGTCTTTTATTTCTGTAGTACAGTAACACCAGACTTATAATTTTCACTGTTGAAATTTCATAAATTGTTATAGCTCGTATTGTCAAGAGGTGAAATTATTTACAGTATGAAATTCAGAAATTTTTAAGCACAAATTATCTTGTTCAGCGCATTGAAATGGTTAAGAAAAAGGCTTTTTTGTTATAGGTCAGGGTTTCCCCCCCCCCCAAAATATCCCACTGATCGACCCTGACTACCCTGTGCGGGAAATTTCAATTTGTTTTGCATCTCAGCCCTGAAATTATTTATGCAGTTATAATATCATTATTTATATTTGTAGTTTTTATTTATTGATATAACATAATTAAATTATCAGTTTAAACAATTTGCATTTATCAGTATAAATCAAAATATGTAATTGAGTTTACGCCTTTATCATCGAAAAACAGGAAAAAATTTTCAAAGAAATTTAAAAACATCTGTTTGCAACTCATGTGCTGATGTGTCTCGAGAATTATTCTTTTGTAATGGTTCGGAACAGATTTCTCCGAGACGCGTAGTAAATCCTAGTACCTCACATTTTCAAAGTCCTTCAATTGGTCTAAATGTTGTTTGTGTATTTTGTATACACGGGAACAAAAGTGCTTACATCCCCATGAACAAATAAACAATTATCAAAACTTACGCGAACACTTTCGTATGGTTTTACATTTTGTTTGTCATTAAGCGTATTAATATTTTTATGACTGTGATATCATGTGTTTTTTATATTTTTAATTAATGACACAACAGAGCTATGTTATTGCCAATAATTTCACCCCATTTTCTACATCTACACATTTCTAAAGTCACTAACCTCAGACAAAGCCACTTTGGAATAGTCAAATAGACAAATGAATGTCTTGGTTTGAGTTCAGTATAATTAATACAAATTACACGACTTCTTCATTCCTAACACCTTTGTGGTTAGTGTCAGAAGTGCAGTGACTGAATTCTAAAAAAAAAACTGAGGCACTTATGAAAACACGTGCTTTATCGCATCCTTGTAATTCTTAAATTCGTATGACAACATAAGACAGTCGATCATTTGTATGTTAATTATTTTCATGTACCTACATCCATTATTTCTTTTAATAAACTATATTTTATTTATTGAAATGAACTATGTGTGTGTTTATGTTATAAAAATATGTTTTCCTACAAACTTAAAGACTAGCGTATCAATCACCAATAAGATGTAGTTAACAGGACAAGACGTTTAAGTAAGAATATGATAAATTGTAATTGTTTTATAATGATTTTAACGTGAAATTAAGTTCTTCTCCACAATAAAAGAACGCTTTGCAGAAACGTAGGAAATAACACCCAGGAGAATTGTACAAAGTGCGTAATGATTTAATCCATGTCCAGACCATTGGAACCATAACATATCAGAGAAATCCACCATGCGTCACGTGTGAGGCATACATTTGACAAATGTGATACTTGAGTTACACAACGTGTAATTGCGGCCTGATGATAACAAATCGTTCATGGCATAATTTTATATGCTATCAAAGAATTTTCCTGAAAGAGCTTAGGAAACCCGCAAAGAAACTACCTTGGACACAGATCTGAACCCGAAACGTCCTAAATACGAAGCAAGAGTACCAACACTAATACGTCCTCTTGCTACTGCTATAATCAGAAACACGGGGTATATTGTATATGCGTGCTGTCGTAGATAACCATAGTGTAGAACTGGATCCATCGTTTATGGCCGCTGACCTTGTAGGGAGTGCCCAGTATGCGGACCACTCAATGAAGGAAGGAATTTTGTGACGTATTAACACTTATGGCCACAATTCGTCACGCCCTTACAGTACGTCTCACCTAGTCACGCTTCGACACGCATTGTCACGCTTCGTCACGTTGCGATACTTCTGGTCACATGTTGTCACCCCGTTACAGTACGTCACGCCTTGTCACTCTTTATCACGCTTAGACACCTTTTTCAAATCTTCCACGAATTGGTGACGTCTCGTCATGCCATTATAGAAGGCCACGACTAGTCACGCTATGTCACGCTTGGGCACGGTTTGTCACGTTTGGTCACGCTTTGTAAATCTTCGTCACGTTTCCACTCTTACGGTGATCCCTTGTCACGACGACAAAGTAGATGACGCCTGGTCACGCTTTGTCACGCTTCGGCACGCGTACATTATATTACGTGAGGTTCGGTTAATTTTGGCTACATTGCAATAAGTTAGATGAAGTTTCGACAGGTTACGTTGTTAGGATAGGTTGGGTTAGGTTAGGTTAAGATTGTTTAGTTGTTCTTATTAGGTTAGGTATCGTTTTGAAAATTTTTGTGACGTTTTGACAGTTATGGCCACAATTCGTCGCGCCGTTACAGTACGTCACGCCCAGTCACGCTTTGTCACAAACTGTCACGTTTGGTCACGCTTTGGAAATATTCGTCACGTTTAGACACTCCTAGCCACTTCTCGTCAGCCCGTTACGGTACGTCACGCTTTTAAAATCTTGTTTATGTTTCAACACTTAAGGTGTCTTCTCGTCACACTTTCAAAGGAGGTCACGCCTAGTCACGCTTTATCACTAATACATATAATTGAAGATAATGGAGTGGACAATAGCAGCGGTAGTGATGAATCGAGTGATGTCAGAAAGCGATGGTCTGTGAGGAGTGGAACAATTGGAAGAAGGTAAAATTATCTGATACTCTCTTCAGTGTTAATTTTCTAGTGTTCTGTAGTTCAGTGAAATCGACTTTCCTGTGTTAAATAACGTGGTGATATTTTATTTGGAGTGTACTCTACGCGGATTGCTACCATTCCTTGCGGCAAATTCTGGTAGGTGACTCGCTCCGAGGTTCCAATTCACAAAAGTTCAGCGGCCAAAATCGCTGGAGCGCAGTATACGTCACGTCAGGCGTGTATCCACCAGTTCTGTCACACATTTGCAGTCCTATTTAGGAACCAGATAAACATCTTGCTTCAG